AAGAGCGTCTGGCCATGACAGTGACTCGTGTGCTGCTCCGAAGGGGTTTTCCAGGTGTCTTCCCAAGCACACACCAGGGGCAAAGCACAACTGCTCCCGGAGACACACGGCATGAAGGAGCAAAGCCGCAGGTCGCCAGGAGCCATAAAAATAAAGTTCTAGGCCTCTTCTGGATTACCTAGCACAGACGTGGGCATGACTCACCCCCAGCATCGCCCCCACACGAGAAAGTTAGATAATCCCTCTCTAGCCTAAGTTAATTAGTGATATGTTCATAGGAGAGGAGCAGGGTGACTAATTCTTTCCTTTGAAAGAGCCCTTGATAGACCTTCCTGTGGGAGTCGCAAGTGCGGATTTCAGGATTTGGCCTGATATTATTAACAGTACAAAAAATAAATAAATAACACAGAGGCATAAGAAGCAGCAGCAGGAGAAAAATAATCAAAAGAACTGCAATATATTAGAAGAGGGGGGAAAACTAAACTAATTGAAATAAAACTCACGAGTGATTTGTAAAATGGAGCCCCTGGTTACCCAAATGCCTAATTAATTTTCTTTATTACGCTCCTCATAACCTTAAAATATTATTTCATCTCAAGTGTTGTGGTAGCAAACACTCAGAGAGCCTACTTGGATCTTTTAAGTAAATTGTATTGGCTAGAGGAGTTGGATTTTGTCATTAACTGGGAAAAAGGGAAAGGTAATTGAAAAGGTTTCTTGTGGCTTGGAAATGCCTTCCAAATATTCATTAAACATTTAAGCGACTAAATTTGCAGAATATGTTCCTGCCGTTGGCACTGGTTCTGTGGCATCTCTCCCCTCAGATGGAAGCCGCGTGTGTTGTGCGGGCTGCTCTCATGCATAAACAATATCATTTTCATAAATTAACCCCCCCCCACAGAAGGCACATCTGTGCCTGCCTTTGAATAAAAGATGGTGGCATGCGAGCAGCCCCTGCACTCGCCGCGAGGATCCTCGCGTGGGAGGGGACGGAGCGCGACGAGAGGCGAGCGA